GTCGACCTGCAAAATACTGCTGCGAAGCCGCTAGTGATGGGAAGCTGGCGGCAGATTTCGACTGGCGTGGTCGAGGAAGGGGTTCGTCAACCTGCCTGGGGTGTGGTCGACGAAGGCAGTCGTCGACTTGCGTGGGTCTGTCGAGGGGGCCGTCGAAGGGAGGCCAACGGCAGCAGCTGACAGAGCTGGTCGACGGAGGGGTCCGTCGACTGGGGTTGTCCTCGATGGGAGTCGTGGTCGACGAAGGAGGTCGTCGACCAGGGCACTGGGTGGTCGACTCAGTCGACCAAGTAACTTCCTCTACGAGGTTGTGCAGAGGCACGAGAGGCTCGTCGGGGCTGCGATGGGGAAGGCGACCTCGGGCTGGTATCCTGAGGTTGACGTGGAGCTTCCGGCGCAATTGTCGGCACATGGCCGACCCAACACCTGCGCGAGAACGTGCTCGACCGTCGCTGTGCACCTGCGCTACTGTCACCTGCGGATGCAACGCTGGCAGACTGCTTTACTGCAGCATTGGCAGACCGCCCTGGTGGAGCGTTGGCAAGCTGCCGACTTGCTCCGTTGGCGGGTCGTCTTTCTGCAACGTTGGCGCAATTCCTCTACGCAACGCTAGCAAGCTATCGACCTTGCAGTGCTGGCGGTCGACCTGCCTGTCTGCAGGATTGCTAGGCTCTAATGTAGTCACTCTTACCATTGCTTGTTCAATCATTATGTAATCCCAACTTTGCTAGTGAAACTCTTGCCAATTCTTCCCGTGAATGTGCAAGTGCTAGAGAACGCAAGCAAAGCTACAATCACACATACAACTCGCGCCAACCCCGTAGTCTAGCTCCCACCATTGTAGATTCAATCTCCGAAGTAGCCACGGCTTTAGGACGGTAGGCACGTTGGCCTTCCGTCGCAAGGGTAAAACCGTGGTGTAGTGAGAGTAGTCATCCACCACAATCAGGAAGTAGCGCTCTTGATGTGGGCCAAGGACCGGGGAGGGGCCCCAGACGTCCAAGTGCAGTGTCTGTAAGGGAGCTGTGGTGGGGGGGAACGAGGAGTGAGGGGCAGCGCGCTGCCAACCCTCGACGCAAGGAGTGCACGGCGGCGCAGGCGAGCGGGGAAGCGAGGCGAGCGACTCTGGAAGACCTGATACCGGACGGTGGCGTACCATCCTACTAAGACGCGGGAAGGACATTTGCCCTAGACGGTGGTGCCAGAGGATCGACAGGTGGGTGAGTGACCGACAGTCGCACGACACAGTAGCTACCTGACCTGGCAGTCACTCAGCGACCCCGTTGTGTTGCGGCGAGTCTGGTAGCGTGTAAGACCGGGTGATCCCCTGACCCTCACAGAACAACCTCAGACGAGTGGAAGCAAACTCACCACCACGGTCCGAGTGTAGATGGAGTCCACGCATACCCTGGGCACCACCCCTCGCTAGTAACTACGGCTCTAGGACGTCAGGCACGTCGGCCTTTCGTCGCAACGGAAACATCTTGGTATAGCGGGAGAAGTCGTCCACCACAATCAGGAAGAAGCGCTCTTGACGTGGGCCAAGGACTGGGGACGGGCCCCAGACGTCCAAGTGCACGGTCTGAAAGGGAGCCGTGGTGGGGGGGAACGAGGAGTGAGGGGCAGCGCGATGTCGCCCCTCGACGCAAGGGGTGCACGGCGGAGTAGGCGAGTGGGGAAGCGGGGCGAGCGACTCTGGGAGACCTGAGACCAGACAATAACGTATTATGCCGCTGAGACACAAGAAGGACGGGTGACCTAGACGGTGGTGCTAGATGACCGACGGGTGGGTGAGTGACCGACAGTCGCACGACACAGCAGCTACCTGACCTGACCTGACCTGACCTGACCTGACCTAACCCAGTGCGGTGGGACCCTACGTGTAGTGAGTACAGACCAGAGCCTGGCTCCCTGTGAAAAGTGGCCAGAGGCGCCCCAGTGGCACCGACTGTGCAGGAGGCAACAGGCTCGTCCAGAGGGAAAATAGTGACTACACCGAGGTTGTGGAGGTGACTGACACCCACCATTTTCCTGGAGAATGAGGGGGTGTAGTAACCTGTGAGAAAACCCAGAGGGAGCCGCCGGACATGGGAGAGTGGTGGTGCTGTGGGCAACGACAGGTTCCACTAAGGGGTCAGCCAAGGCGATGGTAACTGGAGTGTGTAGTGGCGTGAGGTCAGTGCAATCGCGAAAGAAACAACTGGACGCCCCAGAGTCAAGGGTGAAGGCCTAGTCGGTGAGGGCGTACCCGAGCCAGCGACAAAGGCTGTTACTAGACTAGTGGTAGCTGTAGCTCCCACACAAAGACCCTCACAGGCACCAAGACTAGAAACTACACACGCACCAAGACCGGAAACACAAGGCCCTACTCGTGTAGTGGGGAAAGGTCCTAGACTGGGTAGGTGCAACGCAACTGGTCGAACAGTACCATGGCGAGGACGTGAAGGCCAGTGCGGTGTAATCGCGTCCGGTCCAAAGCGCTCACGGTGGAGGTCGTCGAGGCGACGATTGCAGTGGGACATGGAGTGGTCAGTGTGCCGGCAGGTAGTGCCAGCACCAGGGCCAGTCAGGATCCGGTACCCGCAGGGACCGACTTCTCGCCCACTTCTAGCTGAGCCGCTACTGGGGCCGCCACACCTTGGACCCTCAGGTCCCCACTGCCGGGAGTGCTGCGGCTGGCTCTACTGCTGTAGAACTCTAGTAGACGCCATGCGAGGTGCTAGAAACAGGGTATGGGTAACTGGTACGGTCTAGCTCGGTCCAGTGCGGTTGAGCGCGGTTGTGTGCAATTGGAAGTGGTCAAGTGCGGTACCGGGCGGTTCAGTGGGATGTAGAAAAGTGGGGAGCGGTTATGGCAGGTCTAGAGCGGTGGAAGGTATCAGGGGGAGCTGCAGGTACAGGGTGGGGTGGCGGGTACAGGGTGAGGCTGCGGGTTACAGGTGGGGCAGCGGGTTACAGGTAGTGCGGTGGGTTACAGGTGGGGCAGTGGGTTACGGGTGGGGCAGCTGGTGACAGGTGGGGCGGCGGCTCACGGGTGGGGCGGCGGGTAACGGGTGGGGCGGTGGGTGGGGCAGTGGGTTACTGGTGGGAGGCGGCGACGGAGGGGGGGGTTGGGGGCGACGCAATCTGACGGGCCCGCGGGGGGCTTTCTAAGTCGCGACGTGGGAGGACCCGCGGGGGTCCCTCTAACTCGCGATCTGACGGGCCCGCGTGGGCCTTTCTAGGTCGCGACGTGGGGGGTCCCTCTTACTCGCGACCTGACGGGCCCGCGGGGGCTTACTAGGTCGCGACGTGGGGGGGGGACCCGCGGGGGTCCCTCTAACTCGCGATCTGACGGGCCCGCGGGGGACGTGGTGGACCCGCGGGGGTCTCTTCCAGGGCGCGATCTTGTGTGTCCAGGGGCCATTCTACGTCGTGACGGAGGGGGATCCGTGGGGGTCTCTCTCTAGCGCGCGATTCGACGGGGGGGAGCGGGGTGCTAAGGGTTGACGGGGCGCTACCAACGGGCGAGCGCGGGTCGATGGGCCCATGGGAATCGAACGGCTCTATACCATGTCAACATGGTAACAGAATAACGAAATGACTAGAATGAGCAAGTACAAGGGTAGATATAGGAAACCTAACCCTAGCACTCACAAAACAATACACAACCTAGAATAAACAATAAAAACTATAAAAAATATAGTTTGACAGGTTTGTCCTGTTTCCACATCCGACATGGTTCAATCAATGAAGGGAAGAAGAGTTTAGAAGGAAATAGTACCAAAACTTTGCAAGTTTTGAAAGTGTTTTATATGGATAAGCTTTACAGTACAGCCAATCATGGAACAACACACAAGCACAGAAAAAAGAGCTTCAAAATGGAATGACACTCAACTTTATGTGAAGCTCTTGCCCGAGGCAAGAGGCAAAAACATGTTGTCACGCGCAGGAGGCATACCTCGCCAAAGACTTGAATCAACTAGTCACGCGCGTTGACAACCACCACCTTCTTCCGGTAGTGTTCCGGAAGGATGGGATGTCCACGTCACCTGGTACCACATAAGGAAAATTAAATGAATGAGGGACGAGGAATAGGATGAACATAACGTAAGCAAACACAAGGCGAGGGAAGACGCCCCTACGCCACGTCGTACTATCCCGCTCTTGTTCCGTTTGGGGTGAGGAGGGAGGGGAGTGGGGGAACGGGGAGGGGGAGGTAGCAGGGGAGAGACAGGTAGGGAGGAAGGGAGGGAGAGTAAGCAGTCAGAGGGAGGGAGGGAGGGAGGCGAGAGGGGGGAGTTGAGGAGGGCAAGGCTTGAGTGGAGGCAGCGCATGCCCTCCTTCATGTGCTGCACCTCCTCGCTGCGCTGCCGCCGGCTCTCCTCCACCTGTTGCAGCTGCCACAGATGCTCCCTTTGCCACGCCACTGCCATCTCCAATGCTTTCTGTCTGTCCAGCTCCTATTTCAGGGGAAGGAGAGGGGGGAGCGTGGTGGCAACACTCTTTGCAGCTGCCGCAGATGCTCCCTCTGCCATGCCGCCACCATCTCAAACGCCCTCTGCCTGTCCCGCTCCTGTTCCCGATGGGGAGGGGAGGTGGGAGCAGGGAGGGGAAGGGAGCGGGGGAAGGGCAGGCAAGCAAGGAGGGAGGGGGGGAGTAGAGGGAGAGAAAGCAGTCAGGGGGGGAGGAGGAGATGGGGGAGAAGAGGTGTTGAGCTGCCGCAGATGCTCCCTCTGCCACGCCGCCACCATCTCCGCTGCCCTCCCCTGCCCTGCTCCTGTCTCAAAGGGGAAGGGTAGGGCAAGTAGAGTAGAGGGACACGTGGATGTTGAGCTGCCGCCCCGCCAGCACCTTTACTGCAACGGAACGCAAGGAGAGGAGAAAATGCGCCACTCTATCCATCATGCTTTGCTGCCAATGTAGTTGCTGCCCTACGGTTTCCAGATTGGAGGGAAGAATACGGGCTGAATGGAACAAGAAGTTGGGTTTGCCAGTGCACTATTGTTCCTCATACATACCTCCCCAGAAGCTGGGCTATGTGACACAATTGCAGTAGGCTTCATTTGAATTCTTAAGTAAGCCTCTGTATAGAGCTCCTTGTTTGCTGCAATTCTTTCGGCCACCACCCTCTGCCGACTCTCGATCTTGTTCATTTCGCCATGAGCTTTCCATGACTCCTTCTCCATTGCATACCTGCAAGAAAAGCAGTCAACATCCACAGAATGATTCAGCATTACCATTGACAGTCGGGTAAAGATAGCAGTTGCAAAGAACTTGACATTGAAGAGGAAAAGTTAGAGCAACCGATTAATGTAACCTACATAATGGAATGGAAGAAGCAGCTTCCATCGTCGTGCACCTTTCGCCGAACGATAAAGCTCGACATCCTGAGTGCAAAAACGGGAAAGTATGTTTCAAAATCGAACTTTCCGTAGATCTGAAAGTCGAAGTTATGTTAGATCTGGAAAACGAGGATAGAAGACGAGGACAAGTAAATCTGGAAAGTAGATGAGGGTAGTAGATATGGAAAGGGTAGTAGATCGGTACCTTCCATTGCCCTGTGTTCTTAGGTGAGCTGCTCCTTTGACATGTAGACATCGAGAGCTACTCCTCGTAAGGAGAGCTCGAGGGAAGAAGAAACCCTGGGTTAGGACGTGTAGCCTTTTCCGTTTCCGTCCTAAGTCCGGACGAGGCTTCCAAACCGTCCGGTTGGGATGGAGCTCCACCCGGACGTTTGGGACTCAAGTCCGGACAACAGCCCGTCCGGACCACAAATGCGAAACTTTTTGCACTATCATTTTTTTTTTTTTAATTTCGCCGCAATCGTGATTTTCGCCACCACAAATCCGAGGTTGCGGAAGGGGGGCGCGGGCCGCGGAAGGGGGTCGTCGGCCGCGGGAGGAGGGCGCTGTAAAAAAGAGAACGGAAGAATGAAAGAGCTGGAAATGTACAAACAATGGTAGATATAGTTAACCCTAATCCTATTCGTAGCACAAATACATGATATAGCACACACCCCCAAAGTCTAGGTGACGGTAGTCATGTGGAAACAACACATTGTCAAACGTTATACATGTTTGTGCTATGCTATAGTGAGGCATGGTGTAGGGAGTACAAGATTGTTAGGGTTAGCTATTTGTACCCAACCCTTGCTAGTTCAATTCATTCTGTTGTTCATAGTTATAACATAGTATTAGAGTAGGTTTGATCAGCCTACCCACTGCCTGCGCTGTTGCCTTTGCGCGCGCCCTACCCACTGCCCTACTGAGCGCTTCGCGCGCTGGCCTGCCCATTGCCCTACTGCGCGCGCTGCTGCTACCAAGCACTGCCGTTCCTACGGCCCGCTTGCTGCCACTGCTACCGCAATGCCGCTGGTGCGCGAGTTGCTTCCGCTGCTGCGAGTCTTAGGACTAAACCCTAAACCCTAAACCCTGCCCCTGCTGCTGCTCCTGTGGCTCCTCCTCTACCCTCTCCTGCTGCGGCTGCACCTGCACCTGCTGCTGCTACCGGGACTCCTGTGCTACCCTCTCCGGCTGCTGCTGTGACTCCTCTACTCTCTCCTGCTCTGACTGCAACTGCACCTGCTGCTGCACTCGTGACTCCTCCTCTACTATCTTCTGCTGCTGCGACTGAGACTGCTGCTGCTGCTGTGACTCCTCCTCTACTCTCTCTTGATGCTCCGACTGAGACTGCTGCTGCCGTGCCCTCTCAAACTGCTCCCGCTCCTCCCTCTCCAACCTGTCTAAACGCTGCACTCAGGTCAGGAAACGTACAATGCGCGGCGTAGGCGTCGCAGTGGTCGTGTCTCCGGCTCCAGCACCCCCATAACCAGAAACTCCACCGACAACACCCCCAGGGACTCCAGTGCCCCCTGTACGAACACCCCCAGGCTCCGCAGGGACCGGCCGCGGAGGCGAACGAGGAGGGAACTGCGGAACAGACGGGAAGCCAGGGGGTGAGGCGGGGCGAGGCCGCTGAGTCAAGACAGCTGCGTCCTCCTCAGGAGCGGTCTCCACTCTCACACCCCCTTCACCCCCTGAGCTGGCACCATGGGCTCCAGCAGCCCCAGTATCCTCACCCTCCGTAACTACACCTCCTGCACCCCCAGACACGACAAGGACTGGACGCTGCGGGGGGGAAGACTGTGGAGTGACGTGCGACACACCTGATGGGGCAGGCCGTGAAGGGGGTGGGGCTACCAGGGCGACTTGGGGGGGCTCAAGGGTGAGGAAAACCGGGGGGGGAAAGGCCTCAGAACCTCGGTGGGGGCGACTCCTGTAGTAACTGACCGACTCGTCAAAAGTGACGTCCTGAGAGGCAAAGAACTGGTGGGTGACTGGGTCGTAGAACACCCAGCCTGAGGCGTCAAGTGGGAAGCCAAGAAAGACGCAGGCACGGGTGCGTGTAGACAACTTGTTCGCGCCAGGGGCGCGGACGTGAGCCAGATAACCCCAAACGCGGTAGTCAGCTGCTACACCCGGAGAACCTGTCCAAAGGGAGACCGGCGTCACCCGTGGCCGTGCGTCACTAGGCCACATGTTCAGCTGGTGCACGGCGTAGCGGACTGCCTGAGGCCGCAGGAACTGGGGGGCACGGACATGGCACATGGAGGTCCGGGCAACCTCCATGACCAGGCCGATGCGTCGCTTGGCTACCCCGTTCTGCTGCGGCGGGTCTGGTAGCGTATAAGACTGGATGATCCCCTGACCCTGACAGAACGTCTCCAGGCAAGTGGAAGAAAACTCACCACTACGGGCCGAGTGTAGGCGGAGCCCACACAGGCCCTGGGCGCCACCCCTCGTTAGTAGCCACGGCTCGAGGACGTTAGGCACGTCGGCCTTCCGTCGCAAGGGGAAAACTGTGGTGTATCGGGAGTAGTCGTCCACCACAATCAGGAAGTAGCGCTCCTGACGTGGGCCAAGGACTGGGGAGGGGCCTAAGACGTCCAAGTGCAGGGTCTGTATGGGAGCCGTGGTGTGGGGGAACGAGGAGGAGTGAGAGGCAGCGAGCTGCCGACCCTCGACGCAGGGAGTGCATGGCGGTGCAGGCGAGCGAGGAAGCAGGGCAAGCGACTTTGGGAGACCTGAGACCAAACGGTGACGTACCATCGTACTGAGACGTGGGAACGACGGGTGACCGAGACGGTGATGCCAGAGGATGGACGGGTGTGTGAGTGACCGACAGTCGCACGACACAGTAGCTACCTGACCAGACCTAACCTGACCTGACCCATTGTGGTGGGACCGAGTGTGTAGTGAGTACAGACCTGAGCCCGGCTCCCTGTGGAAAGTGGCCAAAGGCACTCAAGTGGCACCGACTGTGCAGGAGGCAACATGCTCGTCCAAAGGGAAAGTGGTGACAACTCCAAGGTCGTGGAGGTGACTGACACCCACCAAGTTCCTAGAGAACGAGGGGGTGTAGTAACCTGTGAGAAAATCAGAGGGAGCCGCTGGACACGGGAGAGTGGTGGTGCTGCGAGCAACCACAGATCCCACGGAGGGGTCAGCTAAGGTGAGAGTGACTTGAGTGTGCATTGGCGTGAGGTCGGTGCAGTCGCAAAAGAAACAACTGGACGCTCCAGAGTCTAGGGTGAAGGAAAGTTGTGCAGTTGGTGAGGCCGCACCCGAGCCAACGACAAAGGCTGGTACTAGACTAGTGGTAGCTGCAGCGCCTACACTAAGTACCTTTGAGACGCCTAGACTGGAAACTATACACGCACCAAGACTGGAAACACAAGTCTCAATGGTAGCTGTAGCTCCCACGTACCGGTGTATGTACTGGCCAGGTCTGACAGGGCCCCGTGGTGGAGGTTGCCGCAGGCGCTGCTGCTGAACCCTCCATTGCTGCTGCTGCGGCCACCGGTGCTGCTGCCATTGCTGCTACTGTGGCCACTGCTGTCGCGGCCACTACTGCAGCTGCGGCCAGTGCTGCTGCCACGGCTGCTGCTGCGGTCGTTGTCGCCACATCAACATGGCACGCTAGTACGAGGTTAGGGGTCAGTCGAGGTGGCAATACTAGTGGTTGGTTGGCCTAGGCTGGTGCTGGCGCGACTGAAAGTGGCCTAAGCTGCTGCTGGTGATACTGCTGATGGTAGTCTAGTGCGGTGAGGAATGGTTAGGTGGGGTTGAGAGTGGTAGGGAACGGTGTTGGACGGTCAGGTGGTGCTAGGAGTGGCCTGGTGCGGTAGAATGCAGTTGAGTGCGGTTCTGATGCTTGTGGGAGGGGGTCAGTGCGGTCGGATGCGGTTCAGAGCGATGGAGGGCAGTTCACTGCGGTTGGGAGCGGTGAAGAACAGTCTAGGGCGGTGGGGGGAAACGGGTGGGCAGTCAACGGGCGTAACGAGCGCACGGGTGGTTGCTGTTGATGCTAGCAGTTGCAGGTGCTAGCTAGAGCGGTGAAGGGAGGTTGAGACAGGTTGAGTGAGGTTGGAATCGGTTACTGGCGGTTGGGAGTGATTTAATGTGGTGAAGGGCGGTTTCTCACGGCTGGGAGTTGTCTAGTGCGGTTGAGAGGCGGTTTAGGGTAAGTTTGGGCGAGTAGGACGGGCTGCAGCAGGCGGCAACAGGCAGCAGTGGGCGGCAGCGGGCGGCAACGGGCGGCTAAGAGGTGGGGCGGTCGTACATTGTGGCCGCGGGGCCAGCTAGGCGCGGGCCACGGGGCTGTCGAGCAAGGACCTCGGGGCCCGCTACTGAAGGCCGTAAGGCCTGCTAACGCGTGGGCCGCGGGGCCTGCATTCTACGGTCGCGGTGAGAAAAAAAAACGAACGGGGGGGGGGGGTCGAACGGGCGACGGCGGTCGTACGTTTGGCCGCGGGGCCAGCTAAGCGCAGGTCATCGAGCGAAGGCCTCGAGGCCCGCTACTGAAGGCCGCGGGGCTTGCTAAAGCGTGGGCCACGGGGCCTGCATTCTACGGTCGCGCTCGAGAAAAAACCGACGGGAGGGGGGAGGGGGGGGGGTCAAACGGGCGACGGTCGACGTGCGACGGACGACGGGTGACGCGCTACGAGGCGCGCGCTACGACGAGGTGCGCGTTAGTACGAGGCGCGTGGGTGGTGGGCCCAGGTCTATCGAGTGAAATTTCGCTTAGGAAAAATCGCCTAGGGAGAAATCGCCCAGGGGAAAAATCGCCTAGGGGGAACCTCGCTCTATACCATGTTTGAATATGAGAATGAATGATTAACAATGAACAAAACAGGAAAGATACATGCAAGGCTAACCCTAACCCTAGCACAACGGAATACACCTAGACTTCAACTAACATAATTATAGAAATATAGTTTGACGGACGGCAGCGAAGGCCGGGCAGCGTAGGCGGCCGCGCGGGGCGCAGGCGACGGTGTGGCAGCGCGTGGGGCAGGGCGAGGCAGCTCGGCCGCTCGGGGCAGCGC